AGAGTTAAAACTCCATTTCACTTCCCCTCGTTTCCGTGGTAACCCCATAGAGTCTCCGGCTCCCAGTCACGGCTGAGGTCATCTGTGGGTGCCATGTCACTCACACCTTGCCAGTAAGCCACACATTCATGAATCAATGAACACATAATCCTTCCAAACGCTGTCATTTTTAACTTTAGTTCTGTTTTCCCACATTGACCCGTATATTTTCCCTAACCTTAAGGATGATAAGCATCTCTCACCTCCCTTTAAAGAAAAGTGTCCCAAATAAGTGTCAAATCAGACTTATTTTCTAATAATGACCAAAATGTAGCTGTAACACTGAGCATCAAAAGGTGACACGACATGTTTATCACATTATCAGATCACAAATACATGGCCAAGATCTATAATTTCTTTATTTACTCCTGATGCAATGAGCAGTTCAGATTGCTAGAAATACTAAAGGCTCACATTTGCATAAAAGTTTTTTGTTTTATTTTTCCATGACAATAATTTAGGGATGCATGATATACTGGCGACTACATTGGTATCGGCCGATATTAGTGTTTTTCCCATATATCGGTATCGGTCCGATGAACACATTTAGCCGATGTGAAAAACCGATGATTGTCTAACATTAGCGCCTTCATCTCTACGTTTGATTGATCACAGATGTTTTTACTTAAATAGTCCTGGACTTGAATGTTAAATATGTTTAAATATGTTTGACTTTTGTTACGTAATAAAGAAGACCATGTGGTCTAATTGGTACGGGCTTCTTTTGAATAGTTTTCACATTCTCACAGTGCTTACAAACAAAAAGTGAATATCGACATCGGTAATATCGATTATTGGTCATATCAGAAATCTTAATACTGGCTATCGGCATTGGCCAGAAATTGTAATATCGTGCATCACTAAAAATAATCTCTACTTTTAGCTGAATGCTGCTATGTAGTGTTGCTTCCTCTAGAGTAGATCTGTGCTGTCTCTGCCTCTCTCTCCAATTACTCTTCATCACTCACAGCAGCTCCAGCTCACCAGCCAACCTACGAGTCTGTTCAACACTGTAAAACTACTCTATGCTACAGAATGGGAAGTTGTGATATTGGAAAAAATCAGCCACACATGTTCGAGCTGGAAACCGATTCTGAAGAGGAAGAATCTTCAGCTTGAAACTTCACTGGTTCCTTAGGTTTGTTACACGTGAAACCTTGAAGAGGCGGTCATCAGTGCCCTGTAGTTTCAAGGTTGGAAGGTTCAGCAATGCATTAACACTGTATGGACATCCTAACAAGGTTAAAAAAAAGGACGATTTTTTTTAACAGAGAGCTTTTAAATTCAGCAAAGTAAAGTCAAAGAAAATGCATTTTATAACTGAAACTCAGGTATAAAATCAGCAAAGCTTCTGAAAAAGACCCTCAAAGAGTATTTCCAAAGTGGTCCTCATGAAGAAACTGGCACGCAAAATTTAGAACTCCCAGTGCATGAATTCTTGACATCCTCATGCGCAGTTTCAACCGTGCAACATACACACATACTATCTTCATCCCTCTCTACACACACACACACACACACACACACGACCCCGACCACCCTCCCCTCGGGGTCTCTCAAAGTGTATGAGTGTGTGTGCATATTGATAAAAGGCTCCAGGTCCAGTGAAGGGCTCCATTGTTGGCAGCGGCTCGGCTCCACACACACTCTGATTGATGCCAGCTGAGAGAACACAAAGACACATTTAGCCCGAACACACACACACACACACACACACACACACACACGAACTAGAGATATAAGAACATATGTGATCTAAAATTTGCACACAGGTTGACACAAACACACACTCTCATACAGATGTACAACATCAAGATGGAGTGAGAACGCACGCTTTAAGAAGACACGAATACACGCGATGCTTTGAACGCACCTTCAGAAAAGAGACAAATCCGCACATCTATTCACGAGCCGGTACAAACGCACACAGTAGCTGTTGGTTGTATGTCAGCAGCTGAACTACCGGTGACCTTAAACAACCTGCGGTTGAAGCTGCGGGGGTCGCGACCTCCTGACGTGTCTGCAATAAAGTCTGGACTCTATTCAAAACACATAAAAGGGACATTCTGCTGCATCTTACACGCTTAAGCCTGGTTTACATCTCAATGACAAGGTGCAACTTTGTGACATTAGTTCTTCTCAGACTGGTCCTTTAACCATCACCTTTGAAAATCAGGATGAACAGATTCCCTCTTCTACACACTCTTCTATCCTTCTATTCATGTTGCGCTACCTCCGAGAGCAACAGCTTCTACTGCCAGCCGGCATTTTATGTTATTTTTGGGAGTCACAAACCACACGCAGACACACAAACAAACAGTCAGGTTTATGTATTCAGGCACAAATGCACAAAGATATGCACACACATGTTC